TTTCGAGTATTGTTCATCCACTCGTTTTCTTCCTTCAGTGTTCCTTTCTGTATCTCTTCTTTCCTATTTCAAATTACTCCCGTTTTTTAATCTGTTCATATAGTATAAGTCAGTGGTATTCAACCTGGGGTACGCGAAGACATCTTAGGGGGTACGCGAAATTTAAACAGAAATATTATTTTATTATAAACACTGAATAATCAGTAATGTAATTTATTTAATTTATTTTAGATATAGATTATATACTATGTATAACTTGAATTATACACCAACAACTTTGGGGGTAAAAAGTTGAAGAGAAATTATATCTGGGGGTACGCGAACACAAAATGGTTGAATACGACTGGTATAAGCACATTTTAAATACATTCTGCGTCAAATCTTTCTTTCTGCTTTGTGTTACAACGCCAATTTTCCGTTTACCACAAGTAATTTTAAATTGCCTTTCACTCTACATTCGCGGTATTGGACAGGTTGTCAGATAAAAGCAGGATTCCGTTGAATAAAATTATCGTCTTAAACAGACTTTACTGTGTAAACGACTCTTATTTCATTTTGCTGAAGACATGGCTTCTCACTCCACGCTTCAACATACAGTGAATTGAATAGAGGTATTAACTCCGTCAGTAATTAGTGAAGGATTGGTTACTGCACGTAAGACAAATTGTGTACTTTATTTGAAAGAGAACAGTTTTGATTTCAACGACAGGCTATTTACCTGCACGGGTCGTAAAGTCATGAAGATAAAAATGGGTTAGATATGTGATAAGAGTCTGGGATGAATAAAAAAGGCTGATGGAGATAACACGTGACAGAAAAGCCAGAATGAACGACCAATAAGGAAATAGGGACAGGAGACCATTTTATAGGCTATATAACTACGTGGTAGTAAGGTACGCACAGCACGTACTGGCCCTAAGAAACTGGACAACAGGCAAGCTTCGTCATCAAGTAACGTTTTAAACTCGCCATAACCAACTACACAATATTTTGTGCTTAAAATATATAAAAATAGATGGAAAATTGGTATAAAATTTCGGTCGAAAAAAAAACAAACAAAGTGACCAACCAAGTGAACGATGCCATTTTCCAGGGTAAACTTGTAACACTTGAAGCCGAAGCTTATCTAAATTATACGTAATCAATAATTCATTCACAAAGGCAAAGAAAATATAACGCGCCTCCATCAAGTCGATCAATTGGTTACTGGTATTTTGGTAAATAGTCCCTGTTAACTTTGATAATCATAATTAACCTATAAACAGAGTTATTGATTGTTAAAGCCAAGGTACATGCAGTTACTCATGGGATTTAAATGGTTAATATTTCTCGAAATCTTTAATTTAAATTTACGCGTAGATCTGACAGTGCTGTCAATTTTCCGGGATGTAGCGTGATAGGACCGTCTTCTGTATTACCTTGAAGATTATAATAATGATGTTAAATATGTAACTGATGACACGCGGAGCCACATGATGGAGTTAAACGGAACTGGCGGCCACTAACAAGCAGAACTACGCAAATAACGTTCATGACTTAGCGGTGCTCTTCATGCAAATGTCTTGTCTATAGTAAAACGTATCTTGTTTAAAGAGATCCTACATTTTAGGCTGACATACAATACTTAGGTCCCGTGACCCCTGAAACGCGGAGGGAGTTAGGGGGCCCAAGTTCGGTCCTGATATCAGCGGACGCGGTTACGTCGTGTCGTCCATTCAAAAAGCAGGTACTATATTCTAAGGCTAAATAAATATTAAGTAATGTATCGGACATAATATTTCCTAATAAACTCGGAGCTGATAAAAAACTGATTTATTTTATGGTTTTATACTTTTTTTAGCATACAACAGTGTGTGAGGACGGTAATTTTAATTAATGTGTCAAATATGGAAAGGGGCTCAACTTTAAAAATGTCTGAAAGGTATCGAAGGCGACAATATTTTCCACAGAATATAACTAATTTCTTGTTACATGAAATATCCACATACCTTCTTGTAGCAGCAGTGTTTCAAACAAGAACGGCCTGACTACAGGGAGACATCGGAGGCTGCAACATGTGGATACAAGAACCATCTTCATGTCACTTGCTCCTTCTGCTCTCGTTTCCTTCGCTACTGAATTATTCATGCTGTAGAAAGAGAAGAAGGTTCCAATCAACATTTGGAAAAAAAAAAAAAAAAAAAAAAAGCTGAATATGCAAGAAAACATACACAAACTGCATTGAAACGTCAGAGTGTACAGTGCCTAATGTTTATGAACGGTCTGCTCAGAACAATCTGCTAACTAAGAACGACAAATTAAGGTACAAACAAGAGTCTTTTGGGGGAGGGGACAATGCAACATTAAAAATAAACGAAAATACATTTGGAGATCGATGTCGACTGTTTTCAAGGAAATATATGGTGAAACAGGAAATAGGGTTACACAGCAAAGAACGGCTACAAACCAAAGACGTTGAGCACCTTGAAATCGCAAAGAAACTGGCGCAATTAGTTCTTCAAGGAACTTGTTGTTTCCTACATGTTTCTTAGCAGGAGTACTTGCTGCTTGATATTTTGCCAAAGGTCAGCACGAAGGATGGATAAATATATCGGCCAATGCCAGTTATATCCACCACATCGAAAACAAGCCCTGCAAGTTCCTGATATTGCAGACTTTTATTTCTCTTCTTGTTTTAAATGTAATTCGAATCTGTGCATCGATAATTCGCCACTTCAATATGCAAAGCTTCGCAGATCACACACAAAGTAACGAGAAGCCGTTTTCCACTATATGGTATTTTTCTCGACCGTTTTGAAGAAAATCGACAATATCTGATACAGGGACCTCCCGGCGGTCATTTCTGACCTTGACGACCATTAAAAACCTCACACGGTCCGGATCATGTGACCAAGGCAGAACACTTCCTACGGTGCCCAACAATTCATCTTATGGTTAAATTCATTCCATGAATATGTTTTTATATGGCGCATTTTCTAACAGCTTACGACTAGCTCCTACATCATGAATTAGTACAGAGCGCAAACATGTTATTGATAGCAGTATTGAACCACCTCAGAATGCAACACAGCAGCTTCCTATATTTAAAGAAAAAGGAATGAATAGAAGAAAATAAATAAGGTAATAAAGAGCTTCGCCTTCCCTTCAATCTCGAACAAAATCCTCATCCACTTGGCCTTTGGCCTGGGATAACTGCCCCCATTTGCTCTCTGCATAGCCATGTATGCTTAACTCCGTAATTCTACATGATATATCGAGGGAAGTGGAGGGGTGTATTCTTTCTAGTTACAAGCAATCCACTTCTTGAACGTCTTTGTTTCCACCCCTTGCCACTTGGCCTCGGGCTGACATGGGAATCCTCTTCGACTTGCCTTAGGGGTACAAGACCTCGCAGAGCTAATGAGGCACTGGGGTCACGACCCGAGCACGGGTGGGTTCCAGCCCAGCGACATTTCACATCTTCCGAGACATTTCCTGTGATCTTGAAGCTGCGAGTTCAGGTTCCTCCAGTAGTGGACCCTGAACAGCCGCTTCATCTTCCTGACGACAAACATCAAACGCTTGTGTGTCCCAATAAAGTTAAGTGATGCCATTATCCTTCGGTAAAGAAACACGTCACTGTTCGTACAGAAACCTGGGTAATTATACGCTAATTCTGTGCCAATTTCCTGCTACAAAATCGAACCTTAGCCAGTATTTAATCTCTGGTGCTTCTGCACTGCATAGACAGAAATACAACATTAGTCGTGCCATAACTTGTGCAGCTAAGGGCCGAGGAGGGCCTGATTTACGCCCAGGTTAGTCTTCCTAGGATTTGTGGTGGACACAGTGGCACTGGGATAGGTTTTCCTCTTAGTCCTTCGCCTTTCCTCTGCCAATATCACCGCTGTTTAATATTAACTCATATAAATTCTGGCGGATGGACCGACTTCTACAGAGACATAATTTCACCCCATGGCGACAAGAACAATAGGAGTTATGACGATGGATTCTCAATGTGGAAAACAGAGTTCAATTCCGGTTAGTTTGTGTGGAATTCGTAGTAGATAAAGTAGGACTAGATCGTGTTTATCGCCAAGTACTTCACTCTGAGACTCATTGAACGTATACTCTGTATTCATCGGTGAACCGTCCCTGTGGCGCGCGATGGAACCGACCAGCCAGAATGTCATCACATTCTTGGTCCTCTGTTGCAGCTTCATCTCTGATCCAGCACATCGTTAAACTCGTGTGAAAGAAGGTAATTTAAGTTTATATTTCATATAGCCAAATTTGATAGAAACATAAAAATAACACAACTGAAGTATTTATGGCCGCAGAATGTCGTATTCCGTTTTGTTGTTCAATCACTAGGTTGTAATTGCAAATAGGATTCGGCTTCAGAGACACGTTATGTTATGTTGAGTTTATCTCAAAATGTAGAGGCGTACGTGTATGTCCCGAAAGGTCTTGCTGTGTAATAACACATTAGTGGATGATCAAATAACAAAGTAATTGCTGAATGCTTTATTTAGATTAGTAACGTAAGTTTTATGACTTTAAAGTTCTCTTGCTTTCAGTTTATGGATACAAAACTTTGCTTTTACTGAAATTGTTATTTTTTCAGCCCCTATTCCCTTTCATCACATTTCTAAACTTTTGAACTTAAACTGTGTTTAACAGACAGCTCCATCCACGTGATTCCGTCTATATCGTATAACTAAAAATATCCCTAACACAACATCATAACCAAAAAAGCCTCACTTTTGTATGCATGGAAATTAAAAAAACAATGCTCAATTTTAATAGCAACAATCTTACACTTATTGAGAATTTATTGGCTATACTGACTGAGCTACTCCAGTTGACAGTGTAAATTAGTCACTTGGCTAAAATACCAATAGATTAACAGCTTAATTAATTATATTTATTCCGGTGTCTGTGCAGTCTGAGACCACACGAAGACTGAGAACGTGAGTTCGAATCTCGACTGAGACTAGGATGTATCCCGCGATTTGCTGTGTTGTCCTTTTACGATCTGAGCAAGTTCAAACTTCTTAAGAAGAACTGTGCTCCATGGAGTCAATCTTCTTACGACAAAGACTTTACAACTGACAGATCCTTCAGTCCAAGGCGACGTACCGTAAAATTTCACGAGACGTCAGAAACTCTCCTTAAGGCTACGCGTTTACTGTGGGTCTTCTGAGCTGGAGCTGCCCCAAGTATAGTAATTTGAAGTCTCGCAAAATTAATCCAGAAATTTACACAGCAGTGAGGGCGCTGTATCTAAAGGTAATCTGAAACCTAGCTAGGGCTGTTCTGCTATGCACTAGTTCAAGGAGCGTAGGAATCAAGAAAAATGGGAAAAGGACAAGGTTCTTGTCAAATATTTCAACTTCACTCTTCAACTCAGTACCTCCTCTTCTAGCAATCCACTTTGTAATAGACACTTTCCTGTCATTTTAATAATGTAATAACAATGGCAGTTTCAGATTAAACTCTTCATACGAGACCTGATGGACTCAGACTTGATCTGTGTTCCTAAGCGATGCATTAAGCAGGTACACGACTTCTAGAGCAATCTGACTAGAGTCACCATACAGTGGTCTAATAAGAGTTAGATTTTGCTCTGCAGAGGTCACGTACCCTAAGAGAGCAGAAACTGTCAAAAATCGGACTGTTGACCGAAAGGAGAATAATAATTGAGAACAGAACACGCGAACAAGTAAGCAAGATTCGAAATCACAAGCGAGAGAGACAAAGACGATTCTCCTCATTTCAAGCACGTGTATAAGAAATATCATCGGCTTTAGAGTTGACAAACATGTGACTGAGGTCCTTAATTTTAATCCCACGCAAGAATATTTAACATGCAGCAGAAGTATCAGATAAACGCCTTTCTCTCCAGAAACAAAGAAAAATACTCGTACTTCTGAACACACACACACAGACACGTGTTTTATTTCATCTGAGGCCGACAATTGATCGCCACGTTCATAAACACATAGAATCAGTTTGTAACATGTAAATCATTCCATTTCTGCTTTCCTTATGGTCTCGAAAGACCACGTGCAAACTGTGTTAACATTTCTTATATCACCACGAGGGACAGTAGGTTTATTTTGGAAGATGTAACCGCTCCTAAAAGAGTTTACAAAGTGGCTCAGCATTCCGCTCCCTTGAATTTCAAACACACTCTACTTTTCTAATAATTTATGGCTAGATATTTAGTTCCTGACGGTATAAATCATAGTTTCTATAGCGAGGATGTAACAGGGAGTGCCGGTGAGGGAAGATGACGCTTGCTGTAGCCTACGTATTCCAGCTCGTGAGTTTTACGAGGTTGGCCACACCAACGCGGCTTCAAACTGCCTAATCTGTCTCATAATCTCAAATCATTATTCATACGTGATATTGTCCTCTTACCCAAATGTCATAAATTAACTTTATAATGCGTCTTTTTTAAAACAGTTGAGTTGAAATAGCTTAATCAGTAAGGTGATACGCTACTGAGTGACCGGTCGCTATAATTCAAGTTAGGGCAGGGATGTTCCCTTTGCCATCAGGTCGAGGTCGGCTCTGAGGCACGGTCTCCTACACAATGCGTAGCGGTGGTAAAGCGGATGGAGCCTGAAGCAGGTCCGTTTTATCACAGTTTTACCACACTCTCCTACGCCTTCATGACTTTGGGCCACGGAAAAGGATTTACTTTTACGTATTATAAAACAAACGTGTGTTCAATAACAACACAACGCGACGGGTCTTCGAAAACTAGATTAAGTGTCCTAAGTCCAAAGTTTAGGCATGTGCCGGGTGTAATGTGATCCTCTAAATAAACATCGAAATTGGTCACATCTCAAAGGAGACTCTCATGACTTCCGTGAGTACACGGACAAATTAAAATAAAATTTCTTTCAGTTGTAAATACTGTCTGTTAACGAATCCAAGTTTCATTAACCCACGCAGTTATGTCCTTAAAATGAAAAAAAGATTAAATGTAAAAGAAAATGTGACACATTTAACACGGTGAAATCAAAACTACTTACCTTGATGATGAATTGAACCTGGGCATGGCCTCAAGGTCACGTATTACTGAGACGGTGAATATTATTTCATATACAATCTCTAAACGGAGAGCATCTATGTACG